GTCTCAATTTCCTCAACCATGAAGTTGTTCAATCGTGGTGTCTATTTGTAGAGCTACTGCCAAGATAAAATGAAAACCGTGCGCGTAAAGCACTTAGCACAGTGCTTGGCACAAAATAGATCCTTGATGATAATTTAAGTTCTGAAAATCAACCAAACCTCTTTGAACAAGAGCTGAGACAGGTAACAAAAAATGAAATGATTTGATCAGTAGTTTGTTAATATCAAAATTTGTTTGTATTTGATTATAATTTTTGCAAGTCTCTGTTAATTGCAACATATCATTTGTGTTGCAATAAACATGGACAAGTGGTGTGTGTGTGTGTGTGTGTGTGTGTGTGTGTGCGTGTGCGTGTGTACATGCTTGTGCATGTGAGCATGGGAACATGGGACCTTGATGGTCTTCCCCATGATGTATTTGGGTAATTAATTCATTTTCTGCTACCATAGGAAAAAATTCAACCAACACACCACTTACAAATTTGGGATATATTTTACCCACACATCACCCCTCTGCTTTTATTTTAGTGACACCGGAAACATTTGAACTTTCTCTTTTTGAAGCATATTATTCCCTAACAAAAATGTTCCTCTTCACATCAATAAGGAGATGCTCAAATTAAATGTTACTGGGAGGAAAATGATAAAAAACAAATAAAAAATAAATAAATAAACAAAAAGAAACCACCACCACCACCAACAACAAAAACAACCAACACTTAATACACACACACTTTCTGAACTCTCAAACTCCCAAATTCTCAGGAATCACCCCTTGACATCCATGCTATTAATAGTGTAGCAAGTGTCGGGGCGCCTGGGTGGCTCAGTCGGTTGAGCATCCGACTTCGGCTCAGGTCATGATCTCAGTCTGTGAGTTTGAGCCCCGCGTCGGGCTCTGTGCTGACAGCTCAGAGCCTGGAGCCTGCTTCGGATTCTGTGTCTCCCTCTCTCTCTTTCCCTCCCCTGCTCATGTCTCAAAAATAAGTTAAAACATTTAAAAAAAAATTTAAAAAATAGTGTAGCAACTGTCCTAAAATATTTCATACTTACATTTTATAGAAATTATCATTGCTTTTCCTTTCAGGTCTGGTGACTCTTGAAAAAAATAAATCTAAGCCTGTTCTTACATGACCTGAAATGTCAAGATGACACATTCATTTTAAGGCTTAACTTAAGGTATTACTCAGAGAGTGAAGGTCCTGGGGGAAGTGGATTTCTCAGTTGTGAAACAAGAGGAGACAAGATCATCAGTAAGAAAGTATGGCAACGTGAATTTTACTAGTTGGATTTCCAACATATGGACTAGAGTTGAATGAATCTTTAGTCTTGGATTTTGACAATCTTAGTACCATTATGTTCTCATTACCTTGAGTACAAAAGGCATTTGCTACAAGTCTAGAAGACTTAAGGAAGAAAGGGAAAGATGCATATTAGAGAGGACCTCAAGGGTAGGATAGCCCTCCTCCTATTTCAAGAAAACTTAAGCTTCTAAAGGGCAAGGAGTGATTCCCAACACTTATAGGAAATAAAACAAAATCTAAGCATCGTTCATAACTTGAAGTGCAATGAAGAAGCAGAACATGGAACTGAAAATTCAAGAGGACTGTGTTTTCCTGAAAACTTCAAGTAGCTCCCTCTAAATTCAGAATGTACTAGAAAGGCCTGTGGGATTTATTTCTGCACACTGGGTAGATTTATGTATTTAGAAAAGGGCTACCAGGAGTGCGTTCCCAGAAAGTGACGTTAAGCTCTAGTAAATGATCTGATTTCTGGCCTTTCAAAGGAAATCGATAAAAAAACAGAATAAGATCCTGTGAAATGAGTGATTTCCTGGGGTGAAGCTGTCCCCCATCACTGTACTTCTCCAGAATGAACCTGTTGCAAGCTGCACTGGTTTTGTGATTAGTGTGAATGAATGTTTCTTGTCACGTAGATTCACTATGGACTTTTTAATTAATAATAATGTCTTGTGTCTTTAGAGCCACCATCTCGAGGAAATTTGAGTGCATTATAATTGATGAATTTCAATTTGTCTTCATACTATCCTGCTGAATGTATAGATTAGGTATTGCAATTGTGTTTCGATGAGGAAAAATAGAACCAGAAAAATTAAATCATTGCCCACAGAGATTTCAGAAGGCCGATAATCGAATCATCAATTACTATCTGGTAGTCTTTACTTCTAATTCTGGCTGTTTCCCCAGAATATCTGATCAGTTGTGACAGTTTGTCCTTAGAAAAATAGAGTTGATCAAAACAGTTATTTGCAGTTGCTGTGATTAACAGAAGTTTACATTCCTTCTCATTATTTTGGTGGTGTTACACAATTATTATTTGTTTGTTTTTATTGATTAAACCACATGCACGTTTTAAGTGGCCTATGCCAACATCCTTGGAATTCTCTTAAGTCACGCATGTCAGAAGTTTTTGTCCTGGTAAGAGAGTGGTGTAAAACTTAAATTCGGATATTAGGTAGTTGTGATATTTAAAAATTGGCTATCTCCATCACCTACCTGCCATTGTTTTAGCTGCCAAAAGAAAATGAAGTAATCTCCCCAACAAAACCATGTTCAAAACCCTTACTAGTTGTACGTTTGGAAAGATTGCTATCATCCTTTCAATCACCCATTCCTCTAGGCTTGAAAACATGAGACGCTGATTTTTCCCCTTCTTGTATTACTAGTTCTATCACTGTTTTCCTTTGACAAGTGTATTACTCTGTCCCTTACTGTGCCCACTCTGCTCCTCGCCTGCAATGTGGTGATCTCCCTACTTGTCTCCTGACTTCAGTTCCCTGTGCCTCAATACGTCTTAGATAAATTTTCCTAATAAATTCTTTGTAATTTTAGAAAGTATGGCTTAGGCATAAAAAAGTATACAAAATATGTTGAACATCACCATCACCCAGCTTAAAAAATGGGACCTTAGAGGGGCACCTGAGTGGCTCAGTTGGTTAAGCGTCCGCCTCTTGACTTCAGCTCAGGTCATGATCTCATGGTCATGAGATCGAGCCCTGCGTTGGGCTCCATGCTAACAGAACAGAGCCTGCTTGGGATTCGCTCTCTCCCTCTCCCTCTGCCTCTCCCCCACTCACACTCTCTTTCTCCCTGCTCTCACAAAATAAATAAATAAACGTGAAAAAAAAAAAAAAGTGACCTTAGAGATACAGCCAAAAAGCCTATTTGAAACCTCTCCGGGATCTCATTTCTTTTCTTTCCTTTCCACTGTCACGAATTTCATGATTATTTTTTGTGCAACTTTTTATACTTTTTACCTATATATCTGAATCTGTAAAAATGGGTAGTATTTCTCTACCCCAGTAATTTCTTTCTGAAACTTTCATGGTTTTTTTTTTTTCACATGGCTTTAAGAGTGCCTCTCTTTTAAGATTTATACACGTTCGTGTATGCGACTTTGTTCCCTTCAGTTGTGTTGCCGTGGTCCACTGGATCCATACGACACGATTTATCCATTCTTCTCCGCGTGTACTTTGAGGCTGTTTGCTATTTCCCCCCTCAAACACAAACAGTTACACGACAAACATGTTTGTTTTTTGTTTTTGTTTTTTTTTAATTTTTTTTTTTTTTCAACGTTTATTTATTTTTGGGACAGAGAGAGACAGAGCATGAACGGGGGAGGGGCAGAGAGAGAGGGAGACACAGAATCGGAAACAGGCTCCAGGCTCTGAGCCATCAGCCCAGAGCCCGACGCGGGGCTCGAACTCCCGGACCGCGAGATCGTGACCTGGCTGAAGTCGGACGCTTAACCGACTGCGCCACCCAGGCGCCCCACGACAAACATGTTTGAACATGCTTCCTTGTTTACATTTCTGAGAGTTTCTCTAGACTCAAGGTCTAAATCCTGGGAGGTAGGATCTGCTCACTTTCCAATTTTTCGTTCAACAGTGCTTGTGGCCAACTGACATGCTGTAATTATGTGCCCTATTCCACCTAAAAAAAAGACTCTTCATTCATCCCTCCACCGACGTTCAATGGAATTTCATCCTCCTGAAGGAGAAGAGCTCCTTCTCATTTCCCAATCTGACCGGACCTCCCCCAAGGAATTTCTTTTAGTGAGGGGTCACCAGTTCAAAAGCTTTGGGCCACATGCTGAAATGCCAATGTATGAAAAATGCAGGGTGTGGTGGGATCTGAGTAGAGTGGGAGCCATGTATCAGGGCACCATATCCGATCTAGAGACTACGAGTTTATGGTCCCTGAGATTCTTGTATTACCTTGTTTATTTTCCTGAGAGTGTCTCCGAAATGCGTAATCATCCAATATACTGCATAGCAGCAAAGACCTAGGTCTCTGGAGCCAGGCTGCCTGGGTTTGAATCCCTGTGCCACTGCTACTAGTTCTCTGCGTCTGAGCTGGTTCCTTGTTTGCAAAATGGGGGACAGGCTCATACTCGTTTCCTAAGGCTTTGGCGAACACTGGACGAGGTAATATACATGAAACTCTCACGTAGGTGCCTAATGCATTTTTGTGGAGTTGTTGAAGAGAGTGAAAAGAAGAAAAAGTCGTCTCATACCTCCTCGGTGTGAGACAGTGCTTTAGGAACTGGGAAGACGATGTTGACTTTAACATCTGTCTCTTTCCCAAATTAAGGTGTCCGTTGAAACCAAGCCCTCCACACGTTACTTGGCCCCGCAATGAGTCCGCAAATGTATGATGAATGAATCAATAAGCCTAATGATTCTCTTAAGGCAACATGAGTGCCCAAGGTGTGTTCTGAGCCACGATGGAGCAGGTTAATTATACCCGTGATAACTTTACTCTGTGCACGTTAGTGTATTCTTATTCTTTGGCTATTGATTATTCCTGTGTAATATGGACAGTAGCTTGCCGTTAGCCGTGACAGTTGAGTGGTCAGGATACCATCTTTTTTTATGACAACGAGTAACAGAGAACTATTTCTTTAATGCCTTACTTGTATACAAAACCACCGACTTTTGATTATGACGAGAATTTGTCCCCTCCCCGCCTCCATTTTTAGGTCTCATTGTCCACGAAGGAGCTGCAGTTTACAGAGTGTTTAAGCGCTGGCGGGCTGTTAACTTACACTGGGATGTATTGAATTATGATAAAGCCACAGACATCGAAGAAAGTAGCCGGGGAGAGTCTTCCACAAGCAGGACTTTATGGTTGCCACTGACGGCCCTGCGGAACAGGAACTTGGTCCACCCGACGCAGTTAACTTCCCCCAGGTTTCAGTGTGGCTATGTGTTACTGCACCTGTTCAACCGGATGAGGCCCCATGAAGATCTGTCCGAAGATAACAGCTCAGGGGAGGTTGTGATGAGAGTGACTTCTGTGTGACAAAAGCGTAAGGCGGCGTGGTGTAGACCACCCTGCACATCTTGGAATGTAATTGCAATGAATGGCGAAACCACAGCACTTCTAAAAACACACATCTATGAACTTTTTAAAATTTATGCTTTTTATATGAACATTTGAATTGCAAATACATTTTTCTGAAAAAAAAATTAGCTCTCTGGTTCTTTGTTTTCTGATTTCCCACATCTTTTATAAGTTGGTACTTGAAATCATTATACATATAATTTAACCCTACTTGGTTCAAAGAATGACGGAAGCTGTCCTGAAGGCCGAGACTATTTTTTCTTGCTTGTTTTAAATATATTTTTTATCAAACGTTTTGCTCCATGTGTAGTTTTTCAGGCATGCCAAGAACGGGGAAGAGCTTAGAACTCTGTGGGCAGATGCCAAGGTGCCTGTGGGTTCGCAGATCCCAGGTGCTTGGGCGATGCTGTGGACTGGTCCTCTTCGTGCCTCACATCTACTGGGAGATGTAAGCGGGACTCTTTTGCTGGGATGGAATAATCTGTCACCAGGAATGCAAGCTCTAGGAATGTTGGCTTGCTTTCTAGCTTGTGAAACAGTACAGAGAGCTTATAAACAGTTAAAGATGAGTGGGGAAAAAATAGTACGTATAACTTACTGGTATTACATACAAGTGGGCAGGGCCTTCTGTATACTTATAACCGTAAGAGCTCACCAAAACGTCACATCATTGCTTGTGAAGTAATAATCCCACCGCCTCACATTTGCATAACCCTCTTACAGACCTACGGCAGTCATTTGGGTTAATTATTCGTGTCTTGAAGCCTGTGAGCGCTATCTTAATTAGATTTTCTTTCTGTAAAAGCTTATATACCTACTGAATCATTTAAACACGGACCCTATCACTCGCTTTAATGAAGTCCTGGGAAATCTATTCACCTGCAGCGAGAAATGTTTTCTTTCAGTAGATAAGTATTTTTTAAGTGAAAAGAGGAAAAGAAAAATGAGGCTATTGACTCCCTAGGAACGGTTTGCTAACTAGCGGCACCTGGAGATTTTCCACCTTTTAATCCTCCTAATGGAGGGAAATGGCACATTTTAATGAGCAGTGACAGAATAAATGAAGAGGCAGGCGGTCATGCTTTCCTTTGGAACATGAGTTGAACATGTAAGTCATTGGAAGTCACTGATGAGTAGATTTTAAAGCATATGAAATAAAAATGCTTTACATTCTATTTTCTAAAAATGACCTTTGGATGATTCGTACTAGGATAGTTAACGTTTACAGGTAGCACTGTGATTCCTACGTAGCAAATCCCACCAATACGCGAAAGAATATTTTCCCAGTTTAAAAACTGTCGCAAATGAGTTAAGGCTGTGCTAATTTGCATAAATGGGAAAAAGGAATCAGGAAATCATGAAAGAAGGAACACGCAACCACTGTTAAGGGGGCAGTTGTAGGAAGCGAGAGTGTTCAATATTCCCAACCTGTATGTCACTTTTTTAATTCTGATATTACACAAGCACAGTCCTGGGGAAGACACTGGGAGGTAGGAGTCAGTCCTATGAATCTGGTTCCGGACGCTCAGAATCTTGCCCCCTGGGACTGAAAAGCAGATTAATTAATAGGGACACCAGGAATGCCAATCTGCTGTCAAAGGAACAACCCATTTTTTGTGCCCCGCAGGTGTTGATGTTTGTCCTGGACAGTTTAATCACGAAGAGGAGTCGTCGTCAACAACACGTTTAATGGAGAATAATTGTGGGAACTGTTCAGCGCATCGCATTAAAAATACCGGATAAAGAGACAGACACAGATTAGATTATCACGGCTCCGTATTTAGCAAGTCTGCCCTTCTAATTGGCGTACACCCTCGTATTCCATCAACTCACTAGACACAAAAAGGCATAATGGATGGGAGACCCCGCTCAGTGTGGGGTGCACGAGGTAGAGATGTCGCCAAGAGAGTTCAGAGTGAGCCTGTCAAACTGGAAAGGAATATGCGTCCCTAGGCTGCCCTGCTTTCCAGCACCCTGACCTTTGGATGCACATTTTGCCCACACCCACTGTTTCCCCCCATCACCTTCACACCTCCTAACACACCCACACACACAGTCACACACCCACATGTGACCCGAGTCAAGGTTGGAATAAGGATCTGGCAGAACCTCCGCTCAATAAAACGTACCCTCTCTGAAATGATTACCTAAAAACTCAGAAGAAATACTCCAGGTGGGGAGGAGACGTGCCTTGAAAGAATTGAATTCACTGTTTAAAAATAATTAAAATGTTAATATGTACTACGAGTTACGATATAAATAATTAACTTCCAGTTGCCAAGTCTGTAATTCAAACGTGGGCTCCCTTAAATATCAAAATCACCGACGTAAGGAAATAAGTTCGAAATGCCTTATTTTTAGGATCTTTTCCAATATGAGAAACACTGAGACCTGTATGCAATTTGTCTCTTTCCAACCACTCATTTGAAGGACAGGCATCCACAGAGCACCTCCTGCGTGCCACATACTTTCGCAGTGGGCCACAGAACGACCCAGGTTTGCAGGGAGACTTTGGGGACATGTGCCACAGCATATGTGGCAGGATACAGGCCAGCAAATGAAAGTGGAAGATCAGGAGCCGATTTCCCTGGGGTGGCCGGGGAAGGAATCCCCGAGGAGCCAGCATCACTTGGGTGCTGAAGCGTGAGCAGAAGTTTGCCACTCAGACAAACGGAGAAGAAGTTCTGGGAACGGCTCCTTGGGGGTAAAAGAGAGGCATGTTTCAGTCATGGTGAGAGGCTTCTCACCGTGGGGGGGGCAGAAGATGCCTGGGAAGACATGATCTATCTCTATGGCGTTTACTAGGTAGCAGAGTCCGAACTCCACAGGGAACCCTGAGAAGACGGTGTTCAAGCTGCAGGTGGCCAGACGTGGCAAGGTCATCTCGGGGGGATGTTCACCCCCCTCTAACCCGATTCCTATGGGCGACACTCTCTGTTCTCAAGGTACGGCTAAAATAAATGGACAGCGGTCATACCCTCAAAAGAGTTCGGAGAAATCCTACAAAATGAAATAGTAGGCAGCAATCACACACAGGTGCCACCACTATAAATTAGATAATGCAGTAGAAACACTGGGGGCATTGAGTGGGCTCTCTTCCCCTCTCCCAGAAGACAGCAAAACCCACAATTTCCAAGAGGAAAGCACATCGGAGATTTTGTGAAGTAGAAGATAGCGTCTCTATTATTGAAAATACTCCCAAACACTTCCCAGAATAAAGACTATCATCTGATTTTTCTTAAACATGATTAATTTTTTTTTTATTCCATATGTCTCATTAACTAAACAAATGCCAAAATAAAGCAAGCTCTCTCTACTGCTTCTGTTTCAGCCTGGGACTGTTCTCCTTTTCCTTTTTGTTTTTCTTTTTTTTTCCCACACTACTAGCAGAGTCTATTATTTTTGATGATGTGCTAATCAATCCTCCTTTATCTATGGAGTGAAATAGCAAAATTAATTTGTCTTTGCCAATTCAGAATTAGATCAGCGATCATCTAATAATGGAAGTGTCATTTTACACAAAGGTCATAATTTGTCCCTATTTTCCTGCGTAGCTTGCTTCTTTTTTTTCTTTTTGATTTGCAAATTTTAATGACAGTAGCTTACGAATATCTGATACTTAAAATTTTTCTTTCCAGGCTCATCGTTTATCAGACTTCAGTGGCAAAATTTGGCTTTTTATTTTCAAAACGTGTTTGCATAAATGATATCATATAAAAATAATTTGATGTCCAACATATTAAGAAATAATTGGTTTAAAACCTTAAGAAGATACTGGAGGCAGTTAGTTCAATCCCATTTTATCAGTTCAGAAAAAAAATGCTCCCATAACGTGTGTGTGATTCAGAATTGCGGCAGGTGCCGTAATTTATAGCAAAGCTCAAAGTTCCGAGCCCCGGTGGAACCTAGAGATTAATTAATTACCTCATAAAGATGCCATTTTATACACAGTGGATTTATCTAATAAATTAGTCAAAGGCTTCAAAGTTATTTTAAGGGATTTTCCCTCTAGGAAGTATAGACACTGGGAGCCAGTGGGAGAATGAAAACTATGTATGATTTCCTGTAAAATTTTGGTGATGCATAAATTTTACCCCAAAGCGTTTGATACTGATTTTCCAAAATAAGTTAGAGGTCACTTAATTTTCTTGTAACTTCTTCATATTTCTGAGAAGTTTGTCTGCATGCAACGTGGCCTTTCGGAAGAAAAGTATCTTTTTCTAGGGCTGCAAGTAGAAAAAAGAGATTTGCTCCAAGACACATAGGGCGTGGAGCCTAGTGAGCGTAGGGTGGAAATGGTGACCTAGGTGACTTAAAACCCTGCTCTCTGGGGCTGTCAAGCACGAATGTCCATCTCAGCTGCTGGGCCACCGAAGGAGCCTCAGCTGTGAGTGGAAACATGGAGAGAAATGTCTCATGTAGTCATACCTCTAGCTCCCTAGCATAGCTGTCCTGGGGCTTTGGGAACACAGGAGATCTGCCCAGGAGCTGTTATGACAACAAGGACAATGTGGCCAGAAGCTGGAAATGCTCCATGGGACACGCTTCCCATGAGACTCTTGGCAAAGTCAAGATTTATTAATAAGAAAGAGCCAAAGCATACATTCAGAGACCAGGAGAAGAAAAAGTAACACAATTCAACACCATTTAACGGCACGATGTGATTAGTTTTGTTAGCTGCAGCTCTGGGGATACTTACTTCTCTACCTCGCCTTCCTTATTCATCATCCCTGGCTTAGACAACAAGGTGGCACCGTCCCCATTATGCCATTGTTCAAAGTATTATGCCCCAGGCACACAGTGAGGCTCCTAGCTGCTCCTGTTGGTATATCACTAAGGACCAGCTCCCCACATGGGCTGGAGAGACTGCCCCCCAAAAAGAGATAAGGAAGAAATCAGAAGAGGCAGCCATGATGGAGGGACAATAAAAAGTGGGCCACAGTGGCAACAAGCCCAAG